GTACTATTTCATATAAAAGTGTGTCTGTAATGACTATATAAAAAATTCTTTGAACTAATTGTTGTTAAATTTAGTACTCAAGGAAAAATAAACAAATTCAGATCAAGTGTTTAATAGTATTTCGTATAGAAGTGTGTCTGTAGTAACAATTGTAAAGTTTCATTGAACTAAATTATTGTTAAATTAATTACTAAAGGAAAAATAAGCCAATTCACGTCAAGTTTTTAGTTGTATTTCATATAAAAGTGTGTATGTAATGACTATACAAGTTTCATTAAACTAAATTGTTCTTAAATTTAGTACTGAAAGAAAAATAAACAAATTCAGATCAAGTGTTTAGTAGTATTTCGTATAGAAGTATGTCTGTAATAACAATTGAAAAGTTTCATTGAACTAAATTGTTGTTAAATTAATTACTAAAGGAAAAATAAACCAATTCACGTCAAGTTTTTAGTAGTATTTCATATAAAAGTGTGTCTGTAACGACTATTAAAAAGTTTCATTGAACTAAATTTTTATTAAATTTAGTACTCAAGGAAAACTAAACAAATTCAGATCAAGTTTTTAGTAGTATTTCGTATAGAAGTGTATCTGTAATGGCAATTGAAAAGTTTAATTGAACTAAATTCTTGTTAAATTTGTTACTAAAGGAAAAATAAGCCAATTCACATCAAGTTTTTAGTAGTATTTCATATGAAAGTGTGTCTGTAATGTCTATTTGTTAGTAGTATTTCATATAAATGTGTGTCTGTGGTGACTATTGAAAAGTTTCATTGAACTAAATTGTTGTTAAATTTATAACTAAAGGAAAAATAAGCAAATTTATTTAAGTGTTTTAGTAGTATTTTATATAGAGATGTATCTGTACTGATTAATATACTTTATAAATATAAATTAATTGTAATGTGTCTGTAATTACTTTGTTTTAGGAAAATATATGGACGAATTCAGAAAGTTTAATTATTTAAAGGCGTTAATTTTATTATTATAGAATAAGCAATAATAAGCAATTTTATAGTAAGTTTTTAGGTGTTTTTAATATTTAAGTGAATCCTTAATGTACTAAGATCAGAAATGTATTGATCAATGTTATATTTAATAATTAGTTGTCTTCAATACTTATACTGACAATTCTGTTGTAAATTGAAAAAAGAGGTGACTCTTTGTATCAATTTGAATTGTTAAAATTAGTTCTCAAAGAGGAATAAGTAATGCTCGACTAAGTTCTTAACTTTATCTTATATGTAGGTGTATCTGTAATTTAACTTGAAGACTATTATGGAATGTTCATGGAAGCTTTGATGTATGTGATTGAAGGCATTACTAGGTTGTCTGTAAAAGCGGGGAATGTTGTTTGTGATGTACGAAGATTTCGCAAGTATCGCAGAAGTAAGTTTTGCATGCGTGGTCTAATAAATAGGAATTAGGGCCCGTTTAAGTGGTTCGGCAAGATGGAAAAGTTGTAAGTATCTATCTCAATTTGGAGAGGATGGGGGGAGAGGGTAGTATCCGAGAAAAAGTTATCTCCTTTGTAAGCTCATCATATAATGGCTGCATTATTTTCTTACCCTCCCGAAAAAAAAAACCCTCGTCCCTCCACTCACGGCGTACGCGAACTCCCGAAGAAAGTTATCCGAGAGTGGTGGAGCCAACCCGAAAAGTTAAAAACTCCGCCCGGAATGTGATTAGTATAGATGTGTACAGTCTCCGGGAAATCTAGGAAATTATACCCGATCAAGAGGGCAGTTGTTCCCAAAGTTACCGACCATCCCCTTCATCTGGAAGATCTCCTAATGACGCTAATTTCAATTATTTTCCCTCGCTCTCCATTCCCTTCCTATAGCAACACTTTCCTTTTCTTCTCTCTCCCTTATTTTTCTTCTACTTCTCTTGATTAGCCCCGAAATGAAAGGAATCTATTTAAACCCTGTACATATCTCAAGACTTCCTTTCCCAATGGACAAGATGCGAGATAGGAGGAAGGAGGAATGATAGGGCGGACGAAAGGAGAAAAGAAAAGGGAACGCGAGAAAGGAGGAAATCTATAATAAACGTCTGAAACGTCGGCATAAATCCGTTTTTATGACTTGTAATAGTCGCGCAATCGGCTCCATAAATAATAAGTAAAGAACGGGGGAAATACTGTTCTATAAATTAATGCATCGATCGGGCCAGATGGCAAAAAAGGGTTTTCTCCTTTTTTTTTCAGCCAACGAAGGGCGCAAAAATATATATGTATAAAAAAAAACGGAGGAGGTGGAAGGAAAAGCTCCTCTTTCGAGGAGGCTTCGAACCGATTCCGATTTGCATGATTGGAAACCATCTGCACAAGGAGCGAGTTATTTTAACATTTAAATATTCAGCCAATAAATAACCGTGCGCATATTTAAAATTCTTTGAATACCAAAAGAACAAAAAAATATCTCAATACAAATTACCGATCAAATTCAGAAATATTTCTTTTTGTTTTCAATTTTCCATAATTTATTTAACATAATTCAATTAGAAAAACAAAATACGAAATTTAATTAATTTTTTTAAAACAATTGCTTCAAATTCATCAAGTTTATGTGATTAGTTACATTCGTTGTATTAAGTTTACAAACTCAACTCTTTTTTTAGATATAAGCTTATAAGAATCAATGAATTCATTGAGAATTGTTGGAAAGTATTGGTCTTTTTAAAGTAGCTGCGGAGTTCGTTGATGGAGAGGAGGATGAGAAGGATAAAGAAATACAAAGAAAAAAACGTATAGCTGTTATCTGACCGTGTACAGACACTGTCCCTACTTTACTTGTATGAGGCTATTCTGTTCTAGCAACAAATGTTGCTCGGATGACCACTGTATGTGTGTTTATATATATATTTCTTTCTTTTCCACCCTTATCTTTACACGCACCACCGACTTTCAGCCACGAAATGAAAGGAATCCCAGCACTCCAACACACATCTTTCTGTGTGTGTCTATACACGTCTCTCTATATCTCTATATATATATATATTCAGAGAGTCCAGAAAAATAAGAAGGACAAAGAGGACGAAAAGAGCACAAAATTGCTGGTAGGAGAAGAGACCAAAAATGAATTCCCACAATTTATTGCTGTATGAGCAAGCGGCGAGGACCATTCAGTGTGGACCGGGGATGATACTTTTCCCTCCAATAAAAATCGAACAAAACAGAAGGAAAATAATAAGAAGCCGGAGGAGGAATGAGAGATGAATGAAGGCAATCCATTCATTAATTTCCTTTTAGTGGAGGAGTGCCAGTCCGTCGACAATTGCGATACATTTTTCCGAAATAGAGATAAAAAAAAAATCTATTACCGCCAGTCCATTTTTCCTTTAATGGACGTCCATTACCAACCGCACTCCAAAAATCTTATGGCCACTCGTCACCTTAATACTGTAATTTCTAAGGAAACCGTTTCTTACCAAGTTTAGTATTTTATTTTTTTAAATTTTGAAGTGACTGAAAAAAATTCTTAATAATTACAGTTTATTAATGAATATTATAGAAAAAATGAAATTACTTAGACAAGATTTGAGTACTTAATTAATTACTTAAGGAATACTTTATGCAATACGCGATTTTTCATACAGTTTTGCTCTATAATAGAAACGTGACGAACGAAACAAAGTTGAAGTAATTTTCAAATATAAAATTTGTTTAATAAAATCGTTCAGAAACAAATATTTGGTGTATTTCTATATAATATTAAGAGTATTTCAGTAAAACTTTGCTCAACGTTAATTAACAAAAAAAAAATCTAAACACAAGAACGAAAGAAAGTTTTGTAAAGTTTGTTAAATTTAGGTATTAAAATCAATAATGAAAAATATCTGGTTTAAATTAATTAACAAGATTGAAAAAAGAATTCAAAAGTTTTTACAATAAATACGAAGTTTAAATTTAAGAAATTTGTATTTATTTTATACAAATATTTCTAATTATTGAAGAAATGAAAGCAGTAATTTTCAAATATAAAATTTGTATTTAAATTTACCAATTAAAATCAGTCATGTAAAAAAAATATTTTTTGTGTAATTATAAGTTGGGAAAATTTTAGTAAAAAAAACATGAATCAACAAAGAAATATTAAAAAAGTTTGAAAGAAACTTTGAGAAGTTCTTAGAAGGAATGCAAAGTCGACATTCAAAAAAGTATTTAATATTTGATAAATAAAATGGGAGTTGAATTAGAATTTTATAATGGTGATTAAATTTAATAAAAAAGAACGTTATGTGTTAAACTCGTAGTAGTAACACAAAGTGTGGTTGAGGACAGATTAGAGAAAGAAGATTTAAAGAGTTTACACGGACGTAAACGTTGGGTGCGTTAAATTCGAGGATGGGAAAAAAGAAAGGTTGTAAAGCCTGGGTTAAATATTAAACGCTGTCGTTTAAGTCGATCTAGAGTCAGCCTTAGAGCACAGCAAGAATACATATAAAACGGTTTGGATCCAAGTGTCCCTGCGAGATATAAATGTATATTTAAGCCAACTGTTAGATTTACTTAAGGACGACGTGTATTTGAACTGCTATTATTATTAGTAATTCAAATTATAAAAGATCATGAATGAAATTTAGTAGTTCAAATTTTAGCAAAAATATTGGTTAATTTCTTGACTTACGACTGAGTTCTGTTAATATACTTTAAAATGAATACATTTTATTTTTGTTGTATTTGCGAAAATTTGCTGTAAATCGAAAAATTGTTGTAGTTATTAAATTGATTTAAGTTGGTAGTTCAATGCAAATATCAATATGATAAGCAATTTGAAAATAGTAATGTAAATAGGTTAGTTTTTATGAAGTAGGCTTGTCTTTATTTGTCATCTGGTTATGTCAATTAATATGAATATTTTGATTTATATTTCTATTCGTATTTGGAGGAATTGAATATATTGAATAAATTCCGAATAAATTTAAATTGTGGACAATCCATTTGGGCGTTAATTTATACGAAAAAGTGAAGGACGTAATTGAAATTTCGCGCCCTTTTATTGCGGAAGTGCGGCCACGTAAGCAGCGAGCGCCTTGTCGAAAACGGCAAACCTCGAAGTGCCATTTGTTATATTTGCATAGGAGCGGGACTGCTCGAACCACCACCCTCTATCACCCTGTTTTCGGTTAAACGTGACCATCGTTCGAACGCCTCTAATGGACTCGCGACCCCGAGGACCTCGTCTGGTTCCCGAAATTTCGAAATCATAAATATTTAAAGGGCATTCTCAAGGATCGATCTTGAAGTGAGCGGGGGTTGAATTGAGGACGAGGGTGGTTCTGGTAGTTGTTGTTGTTATTATTGCTATTACATCCGGAAGGGCACACTCACCGCTGCTGCGAGCGTAGCACTATATCCGGTTTGGGAAAGACGCCTTCCGCCTTGCATTCCACTCTTATATCCTCCGCATCAGCTGATACTCGACGAAGGATCAAACTCTTCTCTGGTACTAAAAAAAAAACATAAAACGTCAGTTACAATTTCGATATGAAACTCAAACAAATAATCTCGTGTTTTGTAAAACTTCGATATTTAAAATTTTATGATGTTTATACCTCAGGTTAAAAGTTACTTCCTCCAAGTTTAAACGCAAGATGTAAATCAACGTTCAAGTTCAATAAAACACACAAATTTCACAGTTAAAACGGAAACTTCATACACTGTCAAATATTATTTGTGACATTTATTTTTGACTGTCAGATTCATTCACAGAGCACACTTATCTTAATACTAAAGATTTATCAAGTGAAGAAACATAAAATTTAATAGCCATAGCAGTCCAAATTACATTTTACTAATTATAGAATAGTGAATAAATAATATCTAATTCACCAAAATTTTGACTATTTAATTAAACATATGATAATTTCTTATATTTTTGTATATATATCAAACATACATTATAAATGAAAATTATAATTTGAAATCTCAGTATGGAAGTAATTGTATTGAAGTTACAATTTCAATTTCGGATAAATTACCTATTTTCTGATATATAGAAATAAAAAGTATATTTATATTGAAACAATAATACTTCTATTTTCTAATAGGTTTTCGGATAAATGGCCTTATTTTCTTTAAAAAGTTTCATTAATTTCTCATATTCAACCAAAATAATTTAAAATTTAAGTTTTTTTTAATTTTGACTATTTATTTACACTTTTGCTAATTTCTTAGATTTTGTATATGTACGAAATACAAACATAAGTATTTCTGATAAATTACCCATTTTCTGATATATAGAAATAAAAAGTATACTTATATTGAAACAATAATACTTCTATTTTCTAATAGGTTTTCGGATAAATTACCTTTTTTTTTCTTTAAAAAGTTTCATTAATTTCTCATATTCAACCAAAATAGTTTAAAATTTAAGTTTTTTTTAATTTTGACTATTTATTTACACTTTTGCTAATTTCTTAGATTTTGTATATGTACGAAATACAAACATAAGTATTTCTGATAAATTACCCATTTTTTTAGACACTTTATTAATTTTTGATATATAAATATAGAAAGTATAATTTAGAATATCTACATTTCAACAATAATTTCTAATATATTTTCTTATAAATTATCTTTTTATAAATATCTAATATAAACAACAATACTTATAATTTCTAATAGTTTTTCGGATGAATTGCCCATATTTCTTTAAAAAGTTTTTCAATCAAAATAATTTAAAATTATAGGTTTTCTTAACTGTTTTCAGAAATATTATTAAATTTATAGAAAATTCTGATATTTATACATTATAAAAAATACAAAGTAAGGTTTACAATCTGTATATGGAATAAACAATTTTCATTAATTTTTCGAATATATTAAAATACTCTTAATTTCTCATATTAAAACAATATACGAAATCCTCATTATTTCAAATATTTTGTCCATTAAAATCTATCTATTTTGTCCTATAAAAATATATGTTTTGACCTTAAAAACAAACATTTTTTCGGATATTTAACCGATTTTATATTACAATAAAATACGTAATAATGATCAATTCGCTAAGATTAAAATATTTCATTAATCTAATAAAAAAAATGAAATGAAACGTTATAACGATGGGTCATCAGTTTTCTTTGGATACGTTTAGTAATTGAAATTTATGCGGGCGCACGCGGCTCCATTATCATGCAAAGTATTAAAAATAAATGTGATTTATATAATATGCAGGTTCCTGTGAGAGAGAAATATATATTTTAAACGAAATTGATTGCGCGTAACAAAAGTGACATTCTTCGCGACGGATGAGGAAAAATTAAAGAAAAGAAAATAAACGTCCTCCTTCTTTTTGGTATTATGCACAAAAGTTTTGTGTGAATAGCGAGAAGGAAGGGTTGGTCCGTTCCTGGTGTGAGTGTATGTGTATGTGTGTGTCCGCAGCCCGCGCCACCACCGGAGGTTGCATAATGGTCGCGCTCTGGATATTACGTAACGAAATACAATGGGGCAAAGCCAAAGGAAAATCGTTACTTCTGCACTCGCCCCGCCGTGTGCAACGAAGGACTACTCTCTGTACGAGAAAAGGATAGAGTCTATATGTATATGTATATATATTATATATAAATGTGTGTTAGTGTATATATATAAGTACACTTCCTTTAAGTTATGGCTTTATGGCCTTTATGGCATTTACAACTCTCGGTGCGCAAATACGAAACCCCGTCGCTAAAGGACGAAGGAGGCCTTTCCGCAGAAGGAGGAATCCGTGTCCAGGCCAAGTTTTTCCCTGTTAATGATCCCCCGGCAGTTTCTTCGGGACATTATCCTTCTCCTCGAGGCTCGCGCATTACGAGGGACGACTCCAACTTGGACCATTATCAAAATCTTGTTCTCCTCTTCCTTTTATTTTCGTCCTCCTTTTTTTCTCTCTTTCTCTCTTATTCCGACGAGCCATCATTCCGGTCATGAACTTAAAATAAATTAAAACAATTTCCTAGGAAAATGCGCAGACAACGACGGATAAAACCGGTTAATATTTTAATCCAAACTATCTTCAAGTAACTCAGTGAAACTTACTGTTTTCTTTCTTTCTATTAAGCGGGAGTTATTGTTCGGATTAAAGAATCGAGTAAATCGTTATAGAAATAATTGAACAAACTTATTATATCAACTTTGACAATATAAAAAGAATATAATTTTCAAAATAATTTTTAAAAATTTCACAGAAAATTCTGCAGACAGGGTAAACCCGTTAATATTTTTATCCGCACTAACTTCAAGTAAATCACGGAAAGTTACAGTTTTCTTTCTTTCCGTTAAGCGGGAGTTATTGTTGTACTTCCTGATTTGGATTAACGAAACGAGGAAGTTAAAGTAAAAACAGTTCAACGAACTTATAGTGTCAACTTTGACCTCATAAAAATTATATATTTATTACTGATTTATGAATTAAAAAATGTATAAGTTTTTTTTGCCATAATGAGAAATAATAAAGAAAGAAGAAATATAAATCTATTTTGTTCCTTATATCTATTGAAACTCGATTATAATTAAGAATACTTATTAATTGTTCCGTTGCAGATAAATGGCGGATATATCCGCCCAACTTTGTATACAGGAAAACTATGCTTAATTCTACTTGTAAAAATTTCTATTTTTTTATTTATATAAACATGTAATACATTTTTACTAAACATATGTTTTAGTCAAAATCACAACGCGGCTCTTTTAATAGAAATTGTGGCTCCCAACTATTACTATGGTGGCTATGGTGGAAAATGAATTTTATTAGTAAACACATCAATTGTTATGATTAATGCGGCTCCTAAGTCTTTTTTTAACAAGCAAGTGGCTCTTTGCTGCAAACAAGTTGCCGACCCCTGTTATACTTTATACCTTTTGGTAACGTTTATCTCTATAATGTAAAAAATAAACAATTGAATTCTTTATTTTCTTTTTCTCACAGCAATCTTCGATTATTACGTGTTTTTCTTTATATTCAGTTTATTCGTACAAATATAAAATCAATGCAATAATTTCCAAAGCGACGGCGGTTTACGAAATCGTAAACCGTTTTTATGTCCGGGCCGGAGGAATCAAACTTGATTATAAAATATCGTGTAACATGTAAGAAATGTTGAGAGTTTATCGCACTTCGGGGGTGTCGTAAAGCCCTCCTCTTGCTCTTGGGGGTGTCCGTGCCCTTATCGCCTGATTATTTCTGTTTCAAACCCACCCCTAAGCTAAGGTTAGATGAAAATAAAAAAAACAGGACGAAGGAAGCGGAAGGACGACAAGAATAAAAAAATATATAACTCCAACAAACACACACACACAGGATAACAAGAAAAAAAACTGGATGCATCCACCGGATATACCCAAAACAACGGTCGGAAATTCTTGAACCGGAAGAGATAAGCTCCTCATCTGGCCTCCTTCGATCCCCTCCTGTGGCCGGGATTAAAACAAATTCCTCAAGGAAAAGCGCAATTAGGAAATATCGTCGATTAAGTCCGAAGGTTTATGTGTGTGTGTGTTTTCAACCCCTCTCACACTCTTATTCTCTTCCTTTCCTTTCCTCGCTCGCATTTTACGTGCTTTTTTTTCGCGCGCCGGAGACCCATTTTCTCTCTCTCTCGGTTCCGTTTACATTTTCGCCCTTCCGACACCTTCCGGTGCACGAAATAAATCGATTAGAAACTTTTTCGCGCAGCGATAATAACTTCATTATAACTGTCGTTTGTTGGTGCATGTGTGCATATATGCAACAATTCGACCAACTAAACTTTCGGCTGGGGGTTGAAAAACAGAACAACAACGAACAGAAACAAAACAAACAAATAAAAAAATGTATATAGGGAAAACTGGAGGGCGTGCGGGTAAATAGAGCGGATGTCGCTGCTGCTGCTGCATGTAATTATTGTCACGGAAAATTTTCATTAACCTGAAAATTCGGTAAATTAAATTGAATTTCATTATTATAGCCAAATATTTCAACCTGTGCACAAAATTAATTCATTTTACGTTAAAGTCATATTGCAATTAGTATCTCCAATGTGTTTTGTATTCACGATTTGTTACATTACATAATCTATATAAATAGTATATTTATAACATTATTATTATGAAAAAATTTACCGAAAATTAATTAAAATCGAGTCAATCTATGAATATAATTAATGTTCGTTCAAATGACTTATTTTTTAATTAATTTAAGAAATTATAAATTTTGGAATGGAAATAATATTATAAATATGCAAAAACAAAATTTGAAGAGATTTTGTGTTTTTGAAATATACAGTTTGATCAATTTATTGATATTTTCCCAAGGGCGGATATATCCGCCCAAGTTTTTATTCAGGAAAACTATGCTTGATTCTGAACGCGTACGTGAAATTGCTATTTATACTTGTATGTTAATATATTATACTAGTACAGTAAAGGTTTGTATAAGAAGGAAGACTATAAAAAATAGATACAAGAGTGTGAAGTGGAAGGAAA